TTTTGGGTACTGTTGGATGCAAGAAGCCCCAGTGGTACAGTAAGTGTTCAGCTGCTAACCAAGAGGTTTGAACTCATCAGTTGCTCTGTGGGAGAAAGATGTGGTGGCCTGCTTCTGTCAAGATTTTAAGTCTTGAAAATCCCATGGGGCAGTTCCACTTTGTCTGTAGGGTCTCTACGAGTCAAAATGGGTTTGGTTTGACTGCTGGATGCACCAACAGCAGTCAAATCTACCTTTCAAGGAGCAACATAGGGCAAGCCATGTCTCTGTTTTAGCAACCAAATAGTGATTCGTACATTCCTTGCATGGTGTCTGGTTGAAAACAAACAAGGGGTGCACTTGAACCCATTCTCTTCTTCTCTAGAAGACTTGGTCTTTCACATGCCTCCCAGACAGTAGGACCAGGATTTCCCTCATATCCAGCCTTGACCTTGGTTCCATGGTGGGGTGGGCACAGAATATGCTATCTCTTTCAAGGAGGATCTCTAGCTGTTAGCTCCTTCAGGGTTTTGTGGAAGTGGCCCAACATCAGAGTACATTTGGATTCCTGGGCAGTGGTGAAAGGCTTGGCTTTATACTTCAGGGTAGACCTTGAAACACTCTTTTTGATGATGAATGCAACACCATTCCTTTTCACGCCTCCATTCCTCATTCTGCCATGCCCAGAATTCAAAATGCCAGTACCAGCTCATTCCAGCTCACTAATGTTCTATTACCAAGGCCAAATTTTCCAGCTACTGGTCAAGGTCCTGAAAGGATTAAGATTTGAAAATTGCAGACAGTGAGGTCTGTAGTAGAGGTATATAGGTAGACATATGGGAGTGGGCATAGTGTGGTGATCTTCACATCACATATTAATGCCACCATAGAACATCCACTGTGGAAGAGGCAATGAACCACCACAAGACAAAATGTCCTGCCACCTGCCTTGCTCATTAGGCACTGCACCACTGGCATGTTGGACATACGAATAGAATAGCCACAGTGACAGAGATGGAGGGTAGGCATGGGCTCAGTAGGATGAATGCCCACTTACCAAGGCTGATGTAGCTACTGCCACCACCAAATAGCCAACCTGCCAGTAACAGAGAAGGGTACTGAGTGCCACCATGGTCCCATTCTTCAAGACCAACTGGGCACTTGATGGCAAGTCAGAAATATGGGCCCCCTTCCATTCTGAGTGGTATAGTGACTAAGGCATTTGACTGCTAACCAGAAGGCTGGCAGTTCAAACCCACCAGCCACTCCTTGGAAGGAAAACTGGGCAATCTACTTCTGTAGAGATACTGCCTCGGACCCCAAGGAGGGGACGCTATATGTCGGAATTAACTCAATAACAGTGTGTTTGGTCACCCCCTTCCCCTCCCCTAAGAGGTCCAGAAATTGTCCTACAGGAAGAGGTACATATTGTAGGCATGAGTTTGCTTTTCCTGCCTGTAGGGCCTCTGACTGCTCTTCTCTCTGGGGGCTCACAAAGGGTTTGATCCACCAGCATGGGATCCTTCATAACACTCTTCAGTCCAGGGGACTGGTCCATGTCAGAGAACAGGAGTGGCCCATGACTATGGGGTATACTGGTCAAATCATACACTGCAACACCCAGAAGCAGCAAGGTTGGGCATATGCATCAAGTCCTCTCACACGGCACTGTGTCCTCAATAAAAGGACTACATGGATCAGGAGTGGCCCTACTACTCCCTGACACTCTAGGCTCTGTGGTGGTGGAGGTCCTGGTCCCAAGAATCCTTTTCAACTAATAACTGCAGGGTAACTGGTATTTCTCAGCAGGAGGTAGAATTGACATTACACAACAAAGGCAGAGAATACAAATGGAATCCCAGCTCCTCTTGATAATCTCTTGCATAGTTGTGATTATGAAATGGACAAGTACAGCAACCCCAGCTGAAAAGTGCACGATGGCCAGGGCTCAGAGCCCTCAGGAATGAGGATCAAGTCACCAAATGTTCTGAAGGTGAGGGGATCCATTGTGTAGGGGATCCATAACAGAGAGTGAGAAGCAAGACCCTGAGGTCAGCTGCAGTGGTGAAGGCTCACCTTGTTCATATGCCTTTTCTGAGTTTCCTAGGCAGTTGTTGTTATGTGTCATGGAGTCGGCCCTGACTCATAGCGGCCCCTCCTCGGATTTGCAAGGTGGTATCACTGGTAGCGTAGTGCGTAAGGCACGTGACTGCTAACCAGAAGGCTGGCGGTTCAAACCCACCAGCCACTCCTTGGAAGGAAGATTGGGCAATCTACTTCCGTAGTGATACCACCTTGGAAACCCAAGGAGGGGTTGCTATGAGTCGGGGCCGACTTGATGGCAAAATAATAACAAACAACATCCCTATAGAAGTAGACTGCCCAACGTTCCTTCTGAGGAGGGGCTGGTGGGTTTGAACCGCCAGCCTTCTGGTTAGCAGTCAAGTGCCTTAGACACTATGCTACCAGAGACCCCCTATAATCCTAGAGGAGTTGTTCTCAGCATATATGAAGTCAATCTACGTGAACAAGATGTGCTACCTGAAGCCCCTTGAAGAAAGGGCTTGCTGCCCAGCCGTGGGGAGTGAGGTCAAGCAGGCACCTCCAGTTGTTAACTCCTCAACTTCTCAGCATGGCCTGCATCTAATGATTATGTAGGCAGGCATATAAATGCCTGGCTTTTTAGCTCCAGGACAACTACTGCATAGCCCTATAATGCTTGGGGCCTTCCTGGGTGGTAGTGGCCTTGCACTCTATCACACCTAACCTACACCCTGTGCCTACTCTTGCCTTAGCCCTGCTTCCCATAGGTGTTGATTCCTAGTAATTTTCCTCCAGACAACTCTAACACACCACTCAATTTCAGAGTGCTCAGTCTGTAAAAAGGTGGTGGTGTTTTTTTTTTTTTTAATTTTTATTGTGATTTGGGTGAAAGTTTACAGAGCAAATTCACTTTCCATACAGCAGCTCACAAACACTTCATCTCATGACACTGACTACAATTTACCACAATGCAACAGCTCCCATTTCCTCCCCATGTTACCTCTTCCCTATGTCCTTCCCTCCCATGCGCTCCTGCCCCTGAGCTCTCTCCCTGTGCATACCAAAAAAATAAACCACTGCTCTCCAGTTGGATCTAACTCATAGTGACCCCTCCTTGGGTTTCCGAGGTAGTATCTCTATGGAAGTAGATTGCCAGTCTTCCTTCCAAGGAAGTGGCTGATGGGTTTGAACCATCAGCCTTCTGGTTAGTAGTCAAATGCCTTAGGCACTACACCACCAGAGCTCCCTATGCATACACAGCCCTTCTATTCTGCCATGATAGATCTCTCCAAGGAGTGTATCTACCTAATGTAAACGTTCAGCTCATATGCCTGTCTTTTGTTTGGCTGGAGGTTCAATTCCAGACCTGAAGGGCAACTAGGGGCTCCATCAGGCTCTGTTAGACCAGCAAACCCGGTCAAAAAGGGGGATCTCTTCAATGGTAGGTTCAGTCCTTCCTGTTCACATGGAGAAAGCCACTCTGATGAGCAACTGTCTGTTGCACCCTTGCTCTGTGCCATGAATTGCTAGCTCCAGGTGCATGGCAGGTAAGACCAACCACAGCCATCAACCTCAAGTGTAATGGCCTTGGGGATAAGGGCCAAATAGGAAACTAGATCCAAATGGGCATTAGTGGGTAGGTAGAGTGCCAGTTGGTGTAGGAAAACAAGGTCCTTATGCCCTGTTGCGAAGAGCCGATGATCACAACAGGTTGAAGAGGGAAAGCAAAAGATTTGAGTATTGATACCCAAGGAAAGAGAATCACTTCTCTAAAACGTCTATCTCCTCCAGCAAAGCAGTAAACATGATTATATAGCAAAATGGGAAGGCGGTTAAAGATCCCTTGGACTGCCAGGAATGTCTTTGTTCTTCTCTTCCCTGGTTACTCCAGACTCAGCAGCCCTCTTCCCAGGGTTGTCTTGCCTCATAGGTTACGGTTCTTAGAGGAAACCAGTCGTGGGAGTTATGTTTACAACAATATAATGGAAAACAACAAACCTAAAGAAGACAGCGTTGGTAAAGAGGTTGGTATTCTATTTACCTAAAAGAAAGCAAAAGGGAGGGAAAAATAGCAAGTTAGTCACTATGATTACTGTCTACTTTAATCGTGCCTGCTAGTCTGTTAAAGTTGTAATTTTCAGTGAGGGGCTCGTTTGGCCTTCCACTTCAGCGTTCCACATTAGGGGGCGTCAGAGATAGCTCTGAGAGACCATAACCAGGGAAGTCTGGGGCGCAGTCCTTGCGCCATGGGCCTGGACGCGCGAAAGGGTCGGTGGTTGGCGGGCTCATCAAGTCCGGCTTTCAGGGCGCGTAAGTGACTCGGGTCTCGTTCCAAAGGGCCGAGAAGGACGCGGACAGCCTCATCCATCCATTTGGCAGCTGCCTCCTGGTGCCCGTCGTGTGACAGCCCATTACCAGCGCGTGCATTCCAGCCGCGGGAGATGCAACCCGGCGTCACTGGGCTGGGACAGACAGGCCGGCGCCCGCGGCCGCACCCCGGCGTCTCTAGCCTAGGTGGAACCACGAGAAGCGGCTCCAACTCACGGCCTGGCCCTCTCAGCTCGGCCCACCGCCGTTATTGGACAGCCAGGATCTTTTAAATTCGACCAACCACAGAGAGCTCCGCGTCCTCCGCGCTCCCATCACCGGCTCTATCCAGAAGGAGGTGGGGCGCCATCTCGGCAATTGGAAGTAGGCGAGTGCGGGCGGGGGCGGAGCTCCGCCCGGTTTGCACCTCCTCTGCTAGGGGCGGGGCTTAGTGTGCGTGCCCGAGAGCAAGAACGCGGCCCCCTGATTGGCGTCGTGGGCCAGCGGCTCCTGGGTGCGCGCCCAGGGGCGGGGCAGACCCACGGCTGCGTGACAGTTGTCGTGGGGGGAGGGCGAGCCCAGGCAAGGGGGAGGAAGTGTAAATAGAGCGTCCGCGGCGCAGCGTCGGCCCCGCCACCTCCTGGGCGAACTGCGAGGAGCCCCAGACAGAGATGGAAGAAGATGAGCAAGAGCAGCGCCGGAGAAAGGTGGAGGCCGGGAGAGCAAAGGTAAACGGCAGTGTTCTCCTTTTCCTCACGCTGTCCCAGCGTGGAGTCCTAGGAGCAGGCTCCGATGGCTAACTATCACTGCTCCCTGTCAGGAGCGGACGCCGTTCGTCTGGCCCGCTTCCGAGGTCTTGCCCTTTCCGCTGGCTCATCTGGCAGCCCCCTCCTGGCCGCCGCCATCTTGAATCCGCCGCCCTCTACCCGGGCCCGCCCCCGTCGTGGCTGCAGCCAATCGGTGGCTAGAACGCGCGGCGGCTCGGTGGGGGCCCTGAGGCCGTGGCCGGGCTGCCCTCCTGGCCACCTCCAGTTGCCAAGGAGTTGCCTGTGTCCCTGGGCTACCAAGAGGGGGAAGTAGAAGGCGAGATTGGTCCTTAGAATGGGAGGAGGGGTCTCGGTTCGAGATAGAGGGGATTGGAGAGGGAGGAGGCTAGTTCCTAGGAGAGAGGAGAGGCTATGTGCTTTATCTTCCAGTCCTGGAGTCACTTTCCTCCTGCTGCCCCGCGGGTCCTCGCCCCGCCTCTCCGCATTTCCCTGGAAACGAGGGATCGTTCCACCTCGTTTTGAGTTGAGTTCTACCTTGCCACCTATTCTGAAGACTCCGCGGAGTGTCGGTCTGGTTTGCCAGCGTGCCCAAGGAAAAGTCGGTGGCATAGGAGCACAGCAGCGTCCTTGCCTGCCAGCCCTGCACCCAGACACAAAAGCAGGAGTAAAGAAATAAATAAGGACGCTGTATGACTGTATGAGCTCTGGTAGCGTAGTGCCTAATGCATTTGACTGCTAACCAGAAGACTGGCGGTTCAAACCCACCAGCCACTCCTCGGAAGGCAGATTAGGCGATCTACTTCCATAGTGATACTGCCTTGAAAACCCAAGGAGGGGTTGCTATGAGTCGTATTCGACTCTGGCAATGAGTTTTTATATGACTATAGCTCATTATAGTCATATAATATATATATATATATATATATATATATATAATATCTATTATATATAATAGATATATGGCTCATTATAGCCACTTGCACAGCCGCTTCCCTGGCCTCCATCTCCCCAGAGCCCAGGAGCTCCTGGAGGGCTTCTTGGTATCGGGACTGCCAGGCTGTAACTGTCTTGCAGCCCTGTCGGGGTCGAGCAGCTGGTCAGAGAGAGGGCACCTCGTGGAAGGTGCCTCTACCTGCAAGGCACTCAGGTCCTCCATACTAAAACTACACTCAGATTTACATTTCCCTTGGAATTGTGCAGTTTAGTTTAATATGAACAATGTGTCATTGTTGTTCTTAGGTGTCATCGAGTCATCTCCAACTCATAGCGACCCTTTGTACAGCAGAAGGAAACACTGCCCGGTTCTGCGCCAAATTCATGATCCTTGCTATACCTGAGCCCATCGTTGCAGCCACGGTGTCACTACGGTGTTCCAAGGAGCCCTGGTGGCTCAGTGTTTAGGCACTGGGCTGATAAGGGAAAGATGGGCAGTTCCAACCTACCATTGGCTCCATTGGAGAAAAGTATTGTCGATCTGCTTCTGTGAAGATAAGAAACTCAGCGGGGCAGTACTCCTTTATTATATAGGGTCACTATGAGTTGAAGTTTAATCGGAGTGGACTAAAGGGCATAGAACAACAGGGTGTTCCAGGAATGCATGATTCGTTTACACTCTGAGTTGTTGTTTCTCTTTGCCTGACATTCCCCAGGGGTCCCCTCCTGATCTGGCCTGGGACCTACTGGGGCCCAAGTGGAACTCCTTGGGTAGGTGAGAGTGGAGGAGGAGAAAGGCTAATGTTGTCCCCAGGTGTCTTTGTTATGCTGTGTGCTGCTGTGACAGTTACCACAAGTGAATGGCTTTAACAAACATTTATTCTCTCACAGTTTAGGAGGCTAGAAGTCCCAATTCAGAGTGCCAGCTACAGGGGCAGGTGTTCTATCTCTTGGTTCTGGTGGAAGATCCTTGTCATCACTCTCCCCCTAGGTTTAGGAGTTTCTCAGCACAGGGACCTGAGGTCCAAAGGATGCGTTCCACTCTCTGCTCTTCTTCTTCTTTTTTTTTTTAAAGATACAGTAAAAATCTTTATTTGGCTTTGGTCAGTATAGGTAAGATATACTGGAGTCACAGAGCAATATGCATTAACAGAATACTGCAGTTCCTAAGAACTGAGCAGCTATGCACAAAATTAAGTATTCAGTCTCCTAAAGAGAAAATGCACAGATGTGTGGTAGAAAACTGTATCTAACACTGAAACTACTATAGGACTTCATCCACAAGCCCAATATTTAGTGATGAAACCACTGTACTGGGCAAATTGGGCATTCATAAACCACACCTACTAGAACAAGTCTGACTGTTACCTCAGTATAAGAACAGTGTGAGTAAGAATGCCCTTACACAGCACAGGCTCTGGATGTGCACAGATTTATACAGACATCACTGTGGTATACTTAAGAAAGATTGCCATTTACAACTGCACATTAACTCTTATAAAAACAACTTGACCTTACACAAAATGTCCTTTTGGCAGCATTCAAAGTATTAACTGTTACAATTTCCAAAGTGGCAGAGGTATTGAAGCAAAAAAAAAAAAAAAAAAAACCCACCCCCGCCAAAAGGCAAATTGTGACAAAAGTATGCATTAATTTTCTGGACAGTATCCTTCCTCAAGACACTGTATAAAAATTTGCTGGAAAAAATATTATACAACTGAACCCTGTACATTCCCACTTGAGTCCAAGCCGTTCTGCATGTGGTGGGAAGCCGCAGTTGGGTTACCTTTCCTGCCCACGGCCTTCTCTCCAGGGTCAGGATTGGAGTCTGTGTCATTGGAGTGATGTGTGAGAGAGTTTTCACTGCCCATGGGAGAGTCTACATCTGCTCTTCTTTCTTGGTGGTTGGAGGTCCCTCCCATTTCTGCTTGCTTGTTTAATCCCTTTATATTTGAAAAGAGATTGACTCAAGATAAGATCTAATCCTGTGCATTGTATCCTGCCTCATTGACATAAACCAAACCAGATTCACTCCCCTGAGTGGATTCAAGTTATAGCAACTCCTCCTTGGGTTTCTGAGGTGGTATCACTATGGAAGTAGATTGACCAATCTTCCTTCCAAGGAGTGGCTTGTGGGTTTGAACTGCCAACCTTCTGGTTACCAAATGCCTTAGGCACTATGCCACCAGAGCTCCCCATAAACATCATACCCATTGCCAGTTCTGACTCAGCTACCCTATAGGATGGAGTAGAACTGCCTCAAAGGGTTTCCAAGACTGTAAATCTTTATGGAAGCAAACTGCTTTATCTTTCTCCTGCAAAGCAGTAGGTTTGAACCTTCTACCTTTCAGTTAGCAGCTGAATGCTTTAACCACTGTGCCACCAGAGCTTCTTCATGGACTTCATGGAAATTAGGATTTCCAACAGATAGGATAATTACATTAGATGACAAAATGGAGGATAATTACATAATATTGAGAATCATGGCCCAGCCAAATTGGCATATCTTTTAGGGACACAGTTCATTATACCAGAAAAGACTTTCCCATTTCCCATTCTGTCCCCCATACCAGGGTTCTTTGGGAAGCTCCAAACACCCAGAACAGGACTTCTGGGGTTGAGAGGCCTCAGGGCAGGGTTGATGCTTCAGTGAACTCAGGTGCTTTATCACCTTCCTTTGTCCCAGCTTTTACACAAATACTTCATTGTGCTCACTGTTTTGGGGACCTATTGTGGGGATTAAGACAGGTTGAGTAGTGACCCAAGATCTAGAGGTGGAGAGGACAGCATGGACACTTTGAATTTGAGCCTGCCCCACCCCATCAAGGAATGAACAGGGCCTCTCACAGCACAGCCAAGCCTTAGAACCACAGGACCTTGCTGTGTTTGAGGTCAAACACTGTCAGATATTGGTGATTTCATGTATTTCAGCTAACGGGAGGTGCTCAGAGCTAGTTCTTTCCCCTGAGGAAACCACCCAGAACTCACAGTAGCTGGTGTGGGAGGCAGTGGCAAGGATGACATAGTGTCTAAGGATAGGGTAACAGGCAAAGGCAGGGCAGCCCTTTCTGGCTGCCTGTGAAGGTGAGATTGTGGCTGAGGTTTGAAGGGGAGGCTGCCGTGGCACCCTTTTTCTGCCTTCTCTGTGTGTATGTGTGTTTCGCAAACATGAGGACCAGGAGATGAAAATGAGCCTGGTGCTTAATGTTAACGTGTGTATTTCCTGAGCTTGCAGGTGTCTCGTCAGTGTATGTAATAGTGCCTCCAGAAGCATTAATGGTGATGGGAGATTAGCATCTGTGGTAGTTAAGGTTGTGTGTCAACTTGACTGGGCTGTGGTTTTGAGTGGCATGGCGGTTGGATGTAGTTATTCCCCATGATAAGATTGGATGTGTTATAATCAACTCTATGGGTAGAATCTGCTGTGGGCAGCAAATTAGTTGCCTTCTGGGTTATAGCCTGCTTCTAGTATATATGTAGGAGCTTTGAGAAAGGTCTCTAGCTTTTTGGCACATTCAGATCCTGCATTTGGTTGAGTCTTCATCTCTAGTTCCTGGACTTGAACTGGTGGCCTGCTGTGTTGCCTGCCGATTTTGGGATTGTGCCGTTTTACCTGCCCTTTAGGTTCATCGGCCTCAGCAGCCTGCAGCTGTCTGAGTCAAAATAAGCCTCTGGCTTGCTCCAGTGGGCCTGGAACAAAGAGGCAGAGCTGAAGCCCAAAGTTGAGGGGCCTTCACAGAGTCCCTAGAGCCAACATTCTGAATTTGGACTTCTAGCCTCCTAAGCTATAAGAGAATAAATCCCTGTTTGTTAAAGCTCTCCACTTGTTTATTATTTTAACAGCACTAGAAAACCAAGACAGCATTCATTCAGAAAGAAACAAGCTGCCTCTTCCTGGCCAACCCTAGGCCAGAAATAAGGACTGTACATCAGAAACTACTCATGTGCATCCTTTCTGTCTTAGAGGCAAGATTTGATGGGAGGGTAGTAAAATAAGTGAAAATAAGGTTGGTTCTGATCATAGTCTGTCCTTGAGAGAATATCATTCTCACTTAAATGGCTTTATGAAATTTTTCTGTGTCCATGAATTTAAGTACTTCTACTACTATTTGCAAAGGAGCTCTGGTGGCATAGTGCCTAAAGCATTTGACTGCTAACTAGAAGGTTGGTGGTCCATACCCCCCAGCCACTCTGTGGAAGGAAGAGTTGGCAATCAACTTCCATAAAGGTTCACCCCCTGGGAAACCCAATGGAGGTTGCTATGAATTGGAATTGACTTGATGGTGGTGAGGTTGCTATGAATTGGAATTGACTTGATGGTGGTGAGTTTTTTTTTTTTGCTATTTACAAGGAGCTCTGGTGGTGCAGTGCCTAAGGCATTTGCTAACCAGAAGGTTGATGGTTCAAACCCACCAGCTGCTCCGTAGAAGGAAGATGAGGCAGTCTGCTTCTGTAAAGATTTACTGCCTTGGAAACCCACTGGGGGTTGCCATGAGTCAGAATTGACTTGGTGGCAGTGTGTTTGGTTTTTTTTCTGGGGGGGTGGGGTATTAACATTTACAAAGAGCTCTGGAGGTGCAGTGGGTAATGCATTTGGCTGCTAATCAGAAAGGTGGCAGTTCAAACCCACCAGGTGCTCCATGGGAGGAAGTTGAGGCAATTTACTTCCATAAAGATTTACTGCCTTGGAACACTGTGGAGGCCTCTGTGAGTTGGAATTGACTCAGTGCTAGTAGGATTGGTTGTGGTTTATTACCATTTACATCAACATTCTTGTTAAATGCATTTGCTTTTATGGCAGTGGTTGTCATTTGAGGTAAATGGCTGATGTTAGATCTCATTCTTTTGACTGTTAATGGGACTCTGAACCGAACTGGGTTGTGCCTTCTGACAGGAACGTTTTGGGAAGTCCCAGGTGCTTTGGTGAGCTGTGTCGTGAAAAATAGAGCATCTGATTTCATAAAGGAGAGTGTTAGATTGACCTGGCTTAATTAATTTTTTGCTACTTCTATACCTTCTCTTAGAATCTATCGCTAGGAAGTTTTGTCTAGGGTACTTATTTCCTTGATTGGGGAAAAATGGAGGCAAAAAGGGGAGAGACTTATCTTTGATGTAATTTTAAACCTTAAGTATGCCTTAATTATGTTATCAGTCTTTTTAATAGAGGTATTTTTAAATTTTGTTTTTCTGTAAACTGCCAAAGGCTAGAAAAGCTATTCTGCCAACGAGCCGTATTGCTTTCCTTTGTCTGTAGTGAGGCATAATTAATGGTTCTTTGGGCATAATTCTAAACTTAAATCCTCCATTACAGATATTGATTAAGACAGTGCTTGTGGGAAAGTAGTCTTTCAGTTGATGTGAGTCTGGCCAGGTGTGGCCAAGTGGACAGAGCCAACCTGAGAGCCTCATGTACCCCACGAGTCTGTTGACTCTGGGGTTTTGTTACTTTTTTCTCACTTATCTTTGCCTTTACTACTTGTCTACGTTTTTGCACAGCTTGCTCACTTCCGACAGAGAAAAACAAAAGGTGACGGTACGTATTCGAAGAAAAAGACGGCGAAGAGGAAGGGCTCGACTGTCGATGCGGCTGTCTCGGAGGAGAGTCCGATAGCTGCTGGGGACAGCGCTTTCCTCAGAGAAAGGGATGTTTGGAAAAATACTTCGTGCATCGACACCTCTGAGAAGACAGAAAGGGTGCTTGCGGCTCAGGTAAATTCACTCAGCATTGTGTTTTAACATTTTGCTTATCTTCCAGTTATTCCTAACATAATTTACCAAAGGTGGTCTTCAGTCTGTTTTTGCCTTTCAAAAGTTAGGAAAGAGAATTTTGTTTTATTTCACAAAAGATGAGTAAATTTCACGGATTTGCTCCTAATACATTTTTTATCTTTGTTATATGATATTGAGAATTTTTGGATTGGACTATTTGAAGGCGAGTTTTATCATCAACTTTTCTTTTGGTAATAGAAGTTTTACACATGTGAGTTCTTCATGAATAGTTGTGTATTCATGTGTAGTATTGCAAATCTAACGACTTACAGTCTGTCCTTTACCTTTTTTATTATTATTTTTTTTAAATTGTGATTTGGGCCACAGTTTACAGACAGAATTGGTTTTCTGTTCAACAATTCATGCACATTTTGTTTTGTGATACTTATTGCAGTCCCACAGTGTAATAGCACTCTTCCCACTTCTTCCCTGTGTTTACTGTTTCTCTTTGTCCTTCTGTCCCATTCCTTCCAGCCTTGTTAGCTTTGTCCCTGGGCAAGATCTCTTTTGATCTTATATGTTTAACTATTCTAATGAGTGATAATAATTTCACCTTACAGGCCTGTCTGTCATTTGGCTGAAAGTTGAGCCACAGGGTAAGTTCAGTTCTAGGCTCAAAGGGTAGTCCTTTACCTTTTTATTTTTTTTTAATTAATTATTTTTTTTATTTTTGCAGTGTTCTCTCCCCTCCCCTTCCACCCCTGGTAACCAACAAAGAAAGTTTCCTTCCACATATAAACCTTTCCTTGACTTTTTTTAATAATGAACTAATACAATATTTGTCCTTCTGTGATTGACTTATTTTACGCAGCATAATGTCCTTCAATTAAGTGTTGTGTAGTATTCCATTGTGTGTATGTACCACAGTTTAATCCTTCACCTTTTTAATGAACATAGAATGGGAAGGGTGAGGGTGACTCCTGTCACAGGAATGGTGTATTGTTGAGGAGATGCCACAGCCAGCAGGTCCTTGAAGCATTGAGAGCTACAGGGCACTCTCTGTGGGAAGGAGTAGTGTGAACTTGGTGAGTGGGTGTTGGTGGCTGAGAGTGTGGGCTGGTGTGGCCTCTCTGGTACATTGAGATCTACTCTTGGTGAAGCTTTCCTCAGATTATCAGTGTGTGAATTATCAGGGAGTGAGTCTGAGTCTTGAGCATCCTTTGCTGGTGTGCAGCAGGGCATATGCAGGGATAGATATTCCTAGACCAAGCAGGAAAACTGGTGGCTGAGAACAGAATTCAGATCAAAATTGTAGTGTGTCTGGCTTGCCTGACTAACAAAAAAATTGAATTATTGCCAACATGTAAAATTTGTGATGTTCTGCGTACAAATTTGGACTTTCCACTTCTTTAAAAAAAATTAGAAGGTCTTGCTTCAGTGCTCCTGCCTTTGCAGGGGAGGAGCCAGCAGCCAGAGCTCTTTTGTCCTCTTTTGAAGAGTTGTTCTGTAGAATATCGGCCAGTTTGGGTCTGTTTGATGTTTCCTTGTGTGTGTGCATTTTTGGCGAGAGCACTGCAGGAGTGATGACATTCTCTGAGGGGTGTCATATTGGAAGAACCAGGTGTTAGTGTTTGATGACTCCTTATTGATGATAATAACTTTGATCATATAGCTACTATGGTGCCTTAGTTCTCTATCTTCTGGTAGTAAAATTATTGTTTTCTCTTTGTAGTTAATAAGTTTATGGTGGAGAGGTAATTTCACACTCTGCAGATATCTTTTTTTTTTTTTTTTTCTCTTTTAAGGGCCCAGTAGGTCAACCAAAGTTGACTTACTTTCTGGCAATCCCTAGTCAGGGATCTGAAGGCATATGCATATGAATGAGTGAAATGATCAGGGGATAAGGAAAAGAGAGGTTTGGATGAATACCAAAACATTTTAAAAGGGTTATATGAAGTAATTGTGTTTATCTGAATGTATTATGAAAATAATATCCATCTAAATGGATAATGTTCAGAAGGTGTATGAGTCTGCCCCTAGACCACCTTTGATTGGATATGCTAAAAAGGGAACTGAGCTTGCTGGCTTAGTCCTGTGTGGGAGTAAATAAGGGTTTATGCTGAAAAACTATGATCCCCACCCAGTCACTGAGGTTGAGATCTTCAGGGCAGGAGATGGAAAGATTGATTGACAACAATCAGCTCAGTGGTCTGATCTGCTGATGTCTTGTTTCTCATGGTATTTTCTTTCATTAGTTTTAGCTCTTATTGATGATTCTTGCCTGCAAAAATTTCCTGAGGGATTGGTCAGATGGAGATTTTGTAAAAATGGTGTATGGCCAGATTACTTTGTCTAACTTCATGAGGGGATAGACTGTCAGTCCAGAGCTAATTCCTATGAGGTGGAGATCAGACATTCCTCACTCTACAACCTTTTAACCAATTCTGACACCAGCCATCTCTCCCATCATACCCTCTGCTTCTCTGCTGGGTTTGATAATTCATTGCAATGGCCACACAGAACTCACAGACCATACTCACGACTATGGGGTTTATTAGGGAAGTAACAGGTTAAAATTCAGGATCAGGATCAACTTGGAGGTAATACAGGATACAGTTAGATCAGGTCAGCTTCTTCTCCACCTTGCCCAGAGGCAGGTCTCTTCTGCTGGTCCCTGCTTGGGCTTGGCCTCTTGCTTTCCCAGCTCCTGTTTATTTGGGCAAGTGTTACAAAGCTCTTTAGCTCTGCTGATAAGTGTGCCTGGAGGCACCTAACTTCAGGAGGGAGCCTTCTGTCTGAAGGCATTTAATTCTCTTGTTCCATGGCTTGACATGCCCACTATATCTGCCTTGTTCTGTGGGCCGGAAAGCCCACTGCCTTGTCTTGTGCCAGTCTCCTGATTCTGCTGCCACCATACCATTTCTCTGCCCCTAAACTCTGCTATGCTTACTGCTGCTTCTTGCCATCTTGCACCATTTCCAATGTCTTCAGTGTTACAACTCTCCATCTCCTGGGTCTAGGAGGTTTTTGGTGCAGGGAACCTGGGCCCAAAGGATGTGTTCCACTCCTGGCTCTTCTTCTTGCTGGTAAAGAGATTCCCTAATACTGACCAATCCCCTGCAAGAGTTCCATGTACCTTATTTGCATGATCCTACCCCCACAAGATTCCATGCCCCTTATTTGCATTAGCAGAACTGTCCAATCCCCTTGATGGGCAATAAGCACCTTGTTTACATAGTTCCACTCAATCATTGTGTGGAAGTTACAAGACCATTGTTAGAAGGGCCATATTAAAGTGATTCAATGAACCATGCTTTATTTCCCTAATTCCATCTACATATATGAGTTAGTATTCTCCTGTAAGAATGAGCTGTCCCTTTTCCTCAGTTTACTTATTTATTCAATTTTTTATATCAGTATGGATTCATGGATGTTTACTTTAGCCTATGGTTTTAATCTATCATTATCATTATTTATTTTGCTGCTGAAATACATAGATTTGGCCATTGGGAGCACTTTCAAAATTTTTTGAGTATTTACTTGCTCTTTGGCAACTGAGATTTTCCCTTTTGTCCTTTCTTTACCCTAGACCTGGAATCAGCCATTTCTTCAGAACCCCTGGCTCCTTTCAGTGGAGAGTGGTATTTAGAACCAAAATCTGGGTGCTGGGAGTTCGTGCTACCAGCGGGTATCGTTATTTCTAGGGCCTTTCAACAGACAGAGCTAGGAAGTATAAATACATGTATACACACAAATAACACATCTATATCTATTTCTTCATCTGCTTGTATACTAAAAAACATGAGTTCATACTAATACCTTCAATTCCATGCCAGCACCCCACAATTCATTCTAACTTTCCCTTTTTCCTTATTTTTAACTCCTTTCTCTGATAGAAACTTGGCTCTTTTTATCTATAACGTATTTACTTAGTTGCTCAATTTAGAATACACACAGATTAGTTTCAGAATTGCTAACCAATATCCCTATGAAACACAAATCTTACAGTTTTTTGTCTTTAGCTTTACAGTATATAGTTAAAATATGCTAGTCCAAAGGTACTTATTTTTAAATATTTTATTTTTGGTGTTGTGGAGAATGTACATGGCAAAACATACACCAATTCAGTAAGTTCTGCATGTACAATTTAATGACATTGATTACAGTCTTCAAGTTGTGCAACTATTCTCACCCTCCTTTTCTGAATTATTCTTCCCACATTAACATAAACCCACTGCCCCACCAGTTTTAGTATTTATTTATTATTTCTCACGATATTGAGTTTGTCTGTTTTTTTTTATTTAAACACTTGTGTTTCAGGTGAAGCCATAAAATTTTAATAGCACAGAGTTACAATAAATCTGTTTATGTACTATATATCTTTATGTTAAGAAGGACTGTATAACATTGTTTGTTAAAATTTTAAATTAAATAGTTATTAATGAGAACCTAGACACAGATCTTACAACTTGTGCAAAAATTAACTAAAAATGGATCATAGACTTAAATGTAAAATGCAGAACTCAAAATTATGTGAGAAAATATAGGAGAAAATCTACATGGGCTTGGGTTTGGTGATTAGTTTTTAGATATAACAATAAAAGCATGATTCATACAAGAAATAAACTGCTAAGTTGGACTTCATTAAGATTAAAAACTTCTGTTTTGTGAAAGACACTATTAAAAGAATGAAAAGCCACATACTGGGGAAAATATTGATAAAACACAAAGCTGATATTTAAACAAATTTTAAAACTAGTAACAATAAAACAATCCAAGGAAAAAAATGGACAAATGATCTGAATGGACATCTCACCAAAGAATATGTACAGATGGCAGGTAAGCATATGAAAAGATACTCAACATCATTTGTTGTTATTGTTAGCTGCCAGTGAGTCAGCTCTGACTCATGGTGACCTTAGGTATAACAGAATGAAAAAGTGCGTGGCCCTACTGCTCAACTACAGGTCCTACGCCATGTTCATGATTGTAGTATGTTT